AAATTGTTAACAGAATCACTACGCAAAAGGTAATAACTACATTCCTTATGCTGCTTGAATAATGACGTGGTTCGGGTGGACACACCAAATCATTAAAAGTCAACTGATACAATGGACGACTTATATTTTTACACATTAAATTTCCCATATCTCTATAATAAAATCTTATTGCTTGGACTAATAAATAAAAATCATGAATATGGCAATCACATATAATTGGGTTCCCTCTGAAAGTAAATTCTTTCAAAGATCTAGATTTTATGTAATTCATTACGTCTGAAGTAACTCTTGATATATTATTATTATGCAAATGTAATACCTGCAAAGAAAAATAATAAAAAAAAAAAACAGAAAATATAAAATTCGTTTAATATATCTATTTGATGTATAATAAAATAAAATTCTAATAAATAACTTACTTGAAGATTTGTTGGTATTCTGTCAATAGTTACTTGAGTAATATTATTATTAGATAATAATAAAGTAGTTACGTTTAATTTAGATAACAGTTCAAGCGATGGTATCTCCTTTAAATAATTACCAGTAAGATTTATTATTAATGGATATCTATTGTCAAAATTCACTCTTGATTGGTTGATCAAAAAATTGGATAATCCTTTATTCGAGCAATCCATAATTCGAGTCATGTCTGCTAGTCTTATACTACAAGTACAATGATTTTGACAAATTCCTTTAGTGCCAAAAAAATCATCTTCGGAACATAAATAAGTATTGGTACGAAGTTTTTTAATTCTAGGCCCCAGCGTTCCATTACGTTGTACGCACGATAAATTTCCGATTGCAAATTTGAAATAATTGTAATAATGATTTGTGATCTTTCTTTCACGGCAACGTAAAAGATCGTACAAAATACAATCGCATAATATTGGATTACCATCGATAAAAATGAGTACGTCACGTTGCATGGTAAAAAATTGTGACGGTATTAAGTTCATGTGAAATAAAATATTTTGTATTTGATTATTTCTTAGATCGATCTTTATTCTGTCCGACGGGATTAAGAAAAAATTCGCCTATAAAAAAAAAAAAAAAAAAAAAAAAAAAAAAAAATGTAAAAGATTATTGAAACAAAGATATTTTTCTTTTTTATCATTTGAATTTATGAAATAATTGAAAAAATGTTCGGTTTTTAAAAATTGATATTTACCATTACGTGTGTTATGTTGTTGTTACTCAAATCTAATAACCTTAAATGATTTTCACTAATAGGCCAATCGGTAATGAAATGTTTTATACTATTGTTCGATAAATGTAATTCTGTGAGAAAAGTATTATTATAAAATAAATTCAATTTTTTGTCTGAAATGTTAAAACTTATCCGATTATGAGATAACTTAGCAAAGGCTAGTTTTTCCATGGGAAAAAAAGCCTTTGGTTCGATAACTTTTATTCTGTTTCTTTCCATGTTTAGTACAGTCAATAATTTTAAGCCTTTAAATAAATCGCTAAAAAAAGAAATTCACATTTGAAAAAATATAATTGAATATAAATATTTTTTTTTTTTTTTGTATAAATGATACAATAACGTACTTTGTTATATAAACCATATTATTACCGGACAAATCGAGTGCGTCCAAATTGGCCATATCTTTAAAAATATTATCGGGTAGACTTTTAATAAGATTGTTATTTATTTCGAGACTTAATACATTTTTTAGATCTTTGAAAAACATTGCCGATAAGGTTTTTAACAAATTTTCATTCAAGTTGATACTAGTTATATATATCGAACCCCAGAAAAAATTTTCTGGTAGTTTTTTAAACCCATTATTGTTCAAATAGACTTCTTCGAGATTAGTTAAATTCGACAAAAAATTATCTGGCAGGGTATCCAAATTTATTTTGTTATGATGAAAGTATAGTTTATTTAATTTATTATTTTTTTCAAACGATTCCGATGGAACATAGGAGAAATTATTCTTAGAAATATCAAGTAGTTCCAAGTTCCTTAATTCATAAAATAAATACGGTGGTAGTATCGATAAATTATTAATGTCTAATAACAAAGTTTTTAATGATAATAGATCGTCAAATATTCCCTCTTCGATCTCTGTCAATTCATTTCCCATAAGATCCAGGAACTCTAGATTCTTAAGTTTATTAATTAACCTAATGTCGAATGTTCTTAATTCATTATTGTATAATTCGATTCGCTTAAGATTCGGAGTTGGATCGAAAATTTGAATGGGTAATATGACTTTATTATCAGATAAATCAATCCACTCCAATGCGGGAAAATCCAAAAGAAAATCTTTTGTAAGATTAGTTAAACCGTTATCAGATAAATTTAATGTTTTCACTTTTGGGAAGCCGGCAATATGCTTTCTTCTTAAATTTCCGTTAAGATTACTAGAAGATTTAAATATTAGGGTCTCTGTTTCTTTCACTCCAAACAAATCGATCACATCTCTTAAGCTAATTTCGTCTGATATTCCGCAATTTGTAAATTGTATCGAATCGAGTTTATGTCCAGTTAGATTGCTCGTGTAATTAAAGTTTTCCCATCCTTCCCAATTTTCACAATTTATCTGTTAAATATTTTAATTATCATTTTATTAAAATATAATTAAAAGTTTATTCATTAAACGATACGTTATATTTTATGGTATAGAATAAATTTTCTATTTCCAGACATTTGTTTGCAAAATAATAATAAATATTGAAATATAGGTCTAACCACAATTAAGTAGTACAATTAAATAAGGAAGTTATCGTGTATATACCTGTAAGTAATCCCATGATTTAACGTTCATGATGATCTTCGTACCATTATTACCAATATGACAAGCAACATGTACCACTTTTGGATTTATTGAGATACATCTACAATATGGATTGTTCTCGCATAAAAGGCTAATGCTGTTGGTCGTTGTAAAGGTAAGAAAAAATATAGCTAATGCTCCGATTTTTAACATTTCAAAACAATTTCTGTCTAATACGAAAGACAAAGAAAATCAAATCGATGAGCAAAAAACATTGAAATTTTATTTCTCTGTTATTAAGATATTATTTGCATATAGAGTTTATCGAAAGTTCGAATAAATATTTTACGCATATCGATGTAGATAAATATAACACGTTCTCTCTCTCGAATAATTCTATTATTCACTTATGTTAATTACTATACTAACTTTTTTAATTTTAGGAGTATTGGGTGTAGAAATCAATTAATTTTTTTATATTATATTCATTGCATCAGAATCGCTATCACATTTTTATTAAGAAATTTGGCACTTGCTTGAAAAATAGATCAAACTAATAGAAAATACTAAAGATTATTTCGAAAAATAACAGATTCGCGATTACTTTATAAATGAATACTAAATTTGTCAGTAGTGTCAGCGAATTAACTTCTGCACCTAATACATTTAAGAAAATATTCATAGTGAATATATAATTAATATATGTCATAACTTTACTTACTCGTATAATTTTTAAAATAATTTTTCTTCGTTTGTTATCTTCTCTTCTTTCGATGGTATGTTATGTAAGTTTGATCACGAGACAACTTCAAATGATTCGAAAAATATTTCCTAAACGAACAAACTACAAGAAAATAACATACCTATTACCTGAAGAGGTCATACATTACTGTTGTCAATTTGTTTATATTATGCTTAGATTTATAACAGAAA